CCACCCTCCTCAGACGCCAACCCCGAAATCTCCAGGTATTTCCCAACCCGGAGCTGGGAACCCTAATGATGTCCCTTCCTGATGGCCCTTCTCTTCCACACCGAAATACCTTGTTCGGTGTAGTGGTTAAGTGCGCAGACTCCAATCTGGGAGAACCGGGTTTGATTCCCCACTCCTCCACTTGCAGCTGCTGGATGACCTTGGGCAAGCCATAGTCCTGTCAGAGCTGTTCTTGAAAAAGAGCAGTTTCTGTCAGAGCTCTCTCAGCCCCACCCAGCTCACAGGCAGTGTTCCCTCTCAGCTGAGTTTTTGTCTTAGCTCAGGACGGATGGCTCCAGAGCAAACTAATTTATGCAGTAGCCAAATCGCTTGCTCACAACTTTAATGCCAGTGGCTCAAAAAGTAGAATTTTTGCTCACAAGACTCCACAGCTTAGAGGGAACATTGCGTCACAGGGTGTCTGTTGTGGGGAGGGGAAGGGAAAGGAGTTTGCAAGCCGCTCTGAGACTCCCTTGGGTAGTGAAGGACGGGGTATAAATCCAATTTCTTCTCCTCCTCCTCCTCCTCCTCCTGGTATAAAAATACCCCAAGGTACAATTGTACAGCTGCGGTGGCTCAAGTGGTTAAGACGCTGAACTGCAGGCTGTGGAAGGTTGGTAGTTCAGTAGTTTGAGACCCGAGTGTGCCGCATGACGGAGTGAGCTCCCGTCTCTAGTTCCAGCTCCTGCCAACCTAGCAGTTTGAAAGCAAGAAATTGCAAGTAGATAAATAGGTACCACTTCAGTGGGAAGGAAACAGCGTTCCGTGCGCCTTGGTGTTTAGTCATGCCGTCCACATGACCACGGAAACGTCTTCGGACAGCGCTGGCTCTTTGGCTTTGAAACGGAGATGAGCACCACAACCCTAGAGTCAGATTCGACTGGCTTTCGAGCAAGGGAACCTTTACTTTTACCTTTACCAAAACATTGTAGATGATTAAATATAGATGTTTTCCTTTAAAATTCATGAAAGTTTAGAGTTGTGTTCTAATACCTTAGGTTGAAAACATAGGGTGTTTTGGTTTGATTTTTTTTTTTTAAATTTCAAATAACTGGGATTTGGCTAGGGGCAGAAACAGACCCCAAATGCAACAGAACAAAGTTTGAGTCCGCTGGCACCTTTAAGACAGAGTTTAGCTTTTGTGTACATGCATACTGAAGAAGCGTGCATGCAAACGAAAGCTTATACCCAGAATTAACCTTTTTTGGTCTTAAAGGTGCCACCGGACTCAAACTTTGTTCTGTTGCGTCAGACCAACATGGCTACCCATCAGAATCTCTCTGAAGAAGGCTACGATCACACACACTAAATAACCCACTTTCAATCCAGTTTCAGTGCACTTTTCAGCTGGATTTTACTGTGAACCAATATACACAATTACTGCAAAAAGTGCATACAAATAACAAAAATTGTTAGAATCAGTAGACTCTTGGTAACTTCAAGCTGTTTTAATCTTTCTGTTTTTCAACAAGGGACGCCATCAATATTCAAAGACGACGTCAAGACAACGGGACGAACTTCCCCGGAGTTTTACTTGCTGTCCGTGTGTAGAAGTACTTTTGTCAAGAGCTCTTGAAGTTATCTGGAACTGAAGAGAGTCCGGTATCAGATATTGTAAGGATGCAGAATTGAACCGTTGCGTTGAGAAAGAGCGTATCGAAAGGAGCGGTAAAACTCCGGGGAAGTTCGTCCCGTTGTCTTGACGTCGTCTTTGAATATTGATGGCGTCCCTTGTTGAAAAACAGAAAGATTAAAACAGCTTGAAGTTCCCAACCAGAGTCTACGGATTCTAACAATTTTTGTTATTTGTATGCACTTTTTGCAGTAATTGTGTATATCGTATCCTAGTTTAACTGCTGCCCCCCCCCTTCCTCTGTCTTCACTGTTTTACTGTGAACCAGCAAAATCCAGTTGGAAAGGGGATTGAAAGTGGTTTATTTAGTGTATAAGAACATAAGAACATAAGAGATGCCAATGTTGGATCAGGCCAGTGGCCCATCCAGTCCAACACTCTGTATCACACAGTGGCCATAAATACCAGGTGCCATCAGGAGGTCCACCAGTGGGGCCAGGACATTAGAAGCCATCCCACTGTTGACCCCCCCAAGCACCAAGATGACAGAGCATCACTTGCCCCAGAGTCCCTATCTATACCTTGTGGCTAATATCCACTGATGGACCTCTGCTCCATATGCTTATCCAATTCCCTTTTGAAGCCGGCCATGCTTGTAGCCGCCACCCGATGCATGTAGCCGCCCAAAGGTGTGCATGCACATGACAGCTTGTACCCAGCATTAAACTTTGCTGGTCTTCAAGGTTTTCATGGTCTTCAAACTTTGTTCAGTTGCTTCAGACCAACATGGCTACCCACCTGAATCTACTCAGATGCAACATGTGTACATCCCCCCCCCAAGGTTATTTTCAAGTTAATTTGCATGTACGTCTTCCCATTATGATGGGCAGTTCTGTGTATGTCCGAACATGCAAAACCTCTTCCACGAAGTCTCTGTAGTTGTTTATAACTACCGCTAATCCCAGGTTGCTCAGTGACGTATACGTTCCTGAAAGGGAGTTAGCAACCCGGCGGGGTGATATACCTTCAGTGTTATATAATGATAATTGACATCCAATCGAGGTATGCAGGATACGCCCCTCTCCCGGGCACCCTGCCACGAAACCGCCTGCCATTTATTGTGGGGGGAGGGGTGAGTTTCGAGGGTCCCACCCAATGCTCCCTCTAAGCTGTGGAGTCTTGTGAGCAAAAATTCTACTTTGTGAGCTCCCGGCGTTTAAGTTGTGAGCGAGCGATTTGGCTGCTGCATAAATCAGTTTGCTCTGGGGCCCTCCCTTCCTGAGCTAAGACAGAAAGGTGTGAGCCGGAGGCTAAAAAAACTGTGAGCTAGCTCACACTAACTCAGCTTAGAGGGAACACTGGTCCCACCTGCCAGGTGCTAAGCCTTGTGGAATCTCATCAGGTGTCCCGAGATCGAGACTCTCTCTTGGGCAAGGCGGCAGGGACTGAACCGGAGCAGAGCCAGCAGAAGAGAAACACGGTGGCTAGGGACCCTGGGCTCCGTTTTCCTGGATTTCTGTTTTGGGCGGGTCTCAATTCCCCGTTCGTTCATCCGGACTGACTCTCCCGCCCTCCCCCTCCACCTGTCCCCACCGAGATCCTCGGAAATCTGCTCTTCTCCGAGGCTTTAGCCCACTTATCCGGAAGGATTAGGCCAATTTCGGTCCCCGGCCTCTGAATTCCTGCCCAGAGTTATCTGCAGGGCTTTATAGGGCCTGGCTGGGCCATGGCGCTGGTGGCCGCTGTCCTCTGGCCCCGTCCCCAAGGTCACCACAGGTGGGACGCGCACCATGCGGCCCTCTGATCTGGGCCTGTGGAATGTGGCCAGGGGGATTGCTCGGGATTTAGGCTCTTTGCTGTACCAGCCGCCAAGGCGGCCCCCCCCCCTACGCCCACGCCAGCTCCGCCTTAGCCACTTCATGGGACTAAAATACCCCCTGAGCTCAGCCCCAGCCGGCCAGGCCGGGCCCTGGCCACCGCACGGATTAACACGCTCCAGCTGCTGCCCTTTCGGTGAGAAAAGGGGACGGTTAGGCCTTCTGGGCCTTCGCCTCCATTTGGGAGAAGGGCAGCCGGTCGCGTCGCCAACCTCCAGGGGGTGGCTGGAGACCTCCCATTATCACAACTGATCTCCAGGCGACAGGGGTCAGTTCCCCTGGGGAAAATGGCTGCTTTGGAGGGTGGACTCTGTGGCCTCGCACCCCGCTGAGGCTCCTCCCCTCCCCAAACTCCGCCCCCTCAGGCCCCACCCACCCCTAAACTCCAGGTATTTCCCAACCCAGAGCTGGAAAAGCTATTCCAGGCGACAGAGATCAGTTCCCCTGGAGAAAATGGCTGCTTTGGAGGGTGGACTCTGTGGCCTTGTACCCCGCTGAGGCCCCTCCCCTCCCCAAACTCCGCCCCCTC